TTAGTGCTTAAGCTTTGGGGATCAAGGGCCCTAAGGGCCCTGTGAATTCCCCTGGTTTCTGCAAGATCCTGCGATGACAGAAAGGGGTTTAGGGTTTAGGGTTTAGGGTTTAGGGTTTAGGGTTCACCGCTTTAGTGCTTAAGCTTTGGGGATCAAGGGCCCTAAGGGCCCTGTGAATTCCCCTGGTTTCTGCAAGATCCTGCGATGACAGAAAGGGGTTTAGGGTTTAGGGTTTAGGGTTTAGGGTTTAGGGTTTAGGGTTTAGGGTTTAGGGTTTAGGGCAAGCCACCTCACACGCTCCTGAAAAAAGTCTCCGAATTAGCTTAGTTTAGGGCTTTCGAGCTTCTCCTCTGAAAATCTTCTGTTGAAGGAGGTTCGACTCCAATCTGCCGCTGTTTAGAGTTGAGGTTCTTTCCGGACTTGTACAAGGCTTCTTTATGAGCTTCTAGGTTAGGGTTTAGGGTTTAGGGTTTAGGGGTTTAGGGTTTAGGGTTTAGGTAGATGATGTGAGGAGCTTAAGGACTTCAGGGTCTGAGGGCTTCAGGTTCAGATGGGCCAAAGACCGCCTTTTGCGGCAAGTCAGTCAACTTGAGAATCCGAAAGTCCGCCAAGAAGCCAACAAGTCACAAACCCCACGCCCTCACCCAAAACAAGGTTTAGGGTTTAGGGTCTAGGGTTTAGGGTTTAAGAACGAACACCCAGAAAGTGTCCGGAATCGCTCTGGGCCCGCCAAGTGAGTTCGAAGTTTCCTGCACGGAGCTTACGCTTCCGGTATGTTTCAGGGCTCGCAGGGTTGTATACGGGGTTTCTAAGGCTTCCTAAGGGGCTTCACAGGATTCGTGACTTAGGGAAATGGTTCCGTGCGGGTTGGAAAGGGTTTGGCGCATGGGATGATCGCCAAACAAGCACATGAACCCGATAAAGAGGCCTGAAACCTTAGACTGCGGTCGCGGAGGTCCGTGATTTATACTACAGTATGGATATGACATCAAGGAACCCTACAGAGCAAACCCTCTCATTGCCCAGGCCGCCATCTTACGGATCCCAGGTTTCGGGCAGATGGGCCCTCACGCTGGGCCCGGGTTAAGGAACCTACTCGCCATTATGACAGCTACAACCCAAAAAATATCCAGAAACCATGTGATTCTGAGATCCTTACGCTTCAATGTGAAGACCAGGACATTAAACCCAAAACCGCCAAACTTCTAAACCCTATAGCTGCACACCGTAAACCTTCAGCGCACCAAACCGCAAACCCCTGGACCCTAAACTAAACCCCAAATCTCTAAACCCTAGGCTTATTATAAGGGTTTCGGGTCTACCTTAACAACCCAAAACCTACTTTTTGTAGGGTCCCTATAAATCCCATATTAGGGTTTAAAATGAGAACCTACAAAAAAGTGGGTTTGGGGTTCTTAAGGTAGGACCCTAAACCCTAGCACACGGGGTGTCGTCTGGGGCATTTCGGCAAGCCTGGGCTTCTTGAGCTTCTGGCCTGGGGGGGTGGAAGCCTATGGGTAGTTCCGGTAGTTCTCTAAATCAGGGTCCCTGTGAGGGTCCTACGGTTTAGGGTTTAGGGTTTAGGGTTTGTGCACTATATTGGAGAGGCCCTAATTTAGAGAACGACCCTTAAAATCACCTTGTTGAACTCGGCAAGCATGGCGAACTTACGAAAACTCTCAACTGGCATAACTGGTGATAGTACCCCTTTTCAGGACCCGATATATAGTTGTAGCAGAATATATATATATATATACATATACACACACACACACCCTAAACCCCGTTCCAAAACTCAAGATCTCCGCATTGTTGGTGCAAACCCACGCACAAACAGTTTGAACCTCGGACCTTGCAGACATGATCGTTACAATCACACGGCATGCCTCGTACGGCTCTGTCAAGGAGCCCGCACTCCCCGCGCCTCAGAGCGTTTATTCTCCGCCATAGCGCAGCATGCTGGATGAAACTTTGAACGAAGCCCTTCACACTGTGACCCACATCCCGGACACCCAGAGTACATAGGTTTTTTCCGGTGGTTTAGGGTGGTCTACCGCGTCTTGGGGTTTTGAGCTTCTTTGCCGTTTCAGGGTTCAAGGTTTCGGGCTTTTGCTGCCCAAAGCACTCCCAGCGGTGGCAGAGAACTGCTCGTCGTGAGTCAGAGCCTGCGAACTTCAGCACTTCTTGAACTGCACTCGCTGATGAAGCTAGAAGAAGGGCTGTAACTCTGAGGGCTTCGGGGTATTATGGTGTACTTGTGTAGGGTGATGAGGGGATATTGGTACTGATGCTTTCGACTCAGACCTCTGAATTTCCTGAATCCTAGACCACCCCAAACCCCAAACACTCCATGCCAATCACAAACCCTAGAGCCCTAGCGCCCAAACCACCAAAAACACACTTCGAAGCCCTCAAACCCTGCATAGCCCCTCGTCAAAGTCGTCACAGAGCCTCAGACGCTTCCCGGGGCAGAGGCTTCGCAAGGACGGCCATTGCCACCTCCGTGCGGCAAGCTGCTTTAGCACAGTTGTGGTGCTTTTGATGGCGATGATGAGAAAGATGATTGTACGACGACGACAGTGATGGAGATGACGATGGTGATGGTGACAGGCCGAACGAATTTGATGGTGATGATGTTGCTGACGAGGAGGATTGTGACGATCACTATGCTATTGCTACTGGAGGAGGCTGGTGATGATGATTACTACTGGTCTTGCTGTCGGCACCAGAACTAATACCATTCGTATTGCTAGTACCGATTCTTCTAGTTTTGTCCGTTGCTGGCTTGCTTATCGTTATGCCATGCTTTTGAGAGCATATCGTGAGCATACTGGGTATTGAACCCTTGCATTTTCTTGGTATTCTACTGCTGGCCTTAAAACTGTTTGTATAGTATACCAGTATACCCCCGAAACAGATCCCTGCTCTCGTTCTTGAGGCCCTTACCTTTAAAATCCATTCCTAAACCCTAAACCCTAAACCCTATATAATTAGATCCGTAGACCCGATCCTTCCCCGGATCCTTCTGGGCCTGCAGTGGCATGGGCCGTCTCTCTGCGGCCGCCATGGCGGCAGCTCTGAAGGGGACGCAGTCGGCTCTCTCACGGCTGGGCGGCCTAAACCCTAGACCCTAAACCCTAAAACCCTAAACCACGGACCTTTTAGTGGATGGGGCCTAGGTTGGGGGGCTTCTCTTTAAGGCTGCTCCGTTCTTGGCAAGAATGGCTGGACATCTTGACGCTTGTCTGTCATGATGCCTGCTTTGCAGCTAGCGCATTCTCTCGTACTTCATAGTTTGTCTCGGACGGCTTCGCATGTGCAGTTTCCGTTGGCTCGAAAGCGCCTACTTCAGAAGTGGCAAGGGTTTCGGGCTTAGGGTTTGGGCTTGTCTTTGGGGCAATGGGGTTTAATCACGAGTTTAGGGCTTAGGGTGCCATGGCCCTGAACCCCAACGCTTCTGTGCACTGCAGGTCCCTCTTCTCCGCCTCAAACTGCACCCAATCGAAAACGGTTCAGGCTTTAGGGTTTAGGGTTTGAAAGTCTGGCCTACGCCTAAGCCGATCTCTGCCGCAGTGAAGAAAGCACCCGCTTTTCCAACCCAGCGACTCAAGGATCCCTCCTGTCCTTCCTCAAAAGAGGCCATGGGGACCCTTGGTTTCGGGACCTTATGATACGGTTTAGGGGTTTAGGGTTTAGGGTTTATAGGGTTTAGGGTTTAGGGTCTAGGGTTTAGGGTTTAGGGTTTAGGGGTTAGGGGTTTAGGGCTTAGGGCTCCAGTGTGCGCTCTACCGCACGAGAAGCCCCTGCCAGCAGTGATCTGAGAGGTCATCTCTCGCCTGCCGGCAGAAGTCCCCAACCCAGGGCTTTATCGGATCAGAGACCTCCGTCGCGATCTTCTTGCCATCGGAGCGCCAGAGGAAGATGTGGTCCAAAGCAGCTCCGCCCCCTCCACATGTCGGCTTCTGTGTGGTCAAGAGCTGCAGACCGAGCTCCTCGTACCACGCTTTGAAACAATCGTCCCTGCGAGAATCCATGTTGAAGTCCCCACAGATGTAAACCTCCAGCACTGTGGAGAACGCGAGGAACTTGCTGCGCAGTTCTGCAAAAAGGCAGGACAGTTCCTCCAGCTGCTTTCGCTTTACCGCCCCTCTCGTGGATAAATGGGTGTTCAAAACCAGCATCCCTTGTTGGGGCCCACCCCAGAAGGCCCAGAGAACGCCTTTGTTGGCCAACCGCTCCTCATGCCACCCATCTGGCCAATTTCCTGGTTTGGCAGTTTATGGACACTCTGAAACCTGCGCATAAACACCAGGGCACCTGCCAAACTATAAAAACCAGAGTAACGCCGCAGAAAACACCCTCTAAACCCCTACATCCTAAACCCTAAACCCTGAACCCTAAACCCCAAACCCTAAACCCTAAACCCCCCCGTAAAGCTCTACCTGACCCAGCTTCGATAGGCGCGGAAGCCCCTCTCAGAGGGCGACCGGGTCGCCAAGATGCAGAGCCCAGAGTCCACCAAGGAGTTCCAGGCCAAGGACATTCCTCGAAAAGCCCCTAAACCCTAAACC